ACTGCTTTACAAGACATGAATTGAAAAACCATTAATCCTAACATTTATTCGTAATTCAGCTTTCACTAGAATTGTATTTAAAACTTTCACATCTTCAAACGCAATTTTTCTTTTGTGTGTTTTCATGGAAAAACGTAGTTGGAATCTTAATAGCATCTATCTAAAAGTAGTAGATCCACTTGCAATTCTTTCCGAATAGTTTCTTTTCGTCCATATATATCCATGCAATGTAGTGACTAAAACAAATTCCCGTGTATAAAACCAATAATAAAATAATTATTAGAACCCAAGGAAAGGCACGTGATTCTAAGGGTGCATCCTCCCAATAACGCTTACAAGTTAAATACCAACAAACTGCCTTATTCATTCCATCTGCAGATTGCAATAATAAACAAAAGCAGAACAAAACGTAAACAAATTTTCATGGTGCTAACCTTCCATTTCCATAAATGATTGATCGATCATTTGTAAAATAAGACCGCCGATACAACTTCTTACCAGGTATTCACATTTCGTTCTCAATTTAGTTAATTCTTCCACTTTACAATCGGCTTTAACCTTTTGCATACCGTTTACTTCATCATTGAGACTTTGATTATTATCCTCTCCAGGGTTCGAATTTTTCGCACCACTATCCGGTGGCTCAGAGCGATTTTTCCTAATTGTTTTTGGTTTTCCATTATATACAAATGAATTCTCGTTGGTGTCCTGATTTTCTGTGAATGCCAAAGAATAGTTAAAGCTCCATCTTCATTTTATTCTTTCTAATTACTTACCAGTCTGTTCAAATTTTTTCGGTCAATTTGTTTCTGACATAATTGACGATTTTGTACTCTAGCCGTCAAAGTCAAAGCAAAGAAGTGTCTATCCAAGTCAAGTAACTGATGTAATTAATTAGAGTAAAACTGAAACTGTAGAAGAATGAGAATAAAAATAATCGTGAAACGATATTCTTAGATAAGTTAATGCCTGCAATTTTGTCCTAGATAAACGTCGGAAATAAACTCATTCATATCTGACTCCTTAGATTCAAATGTGTGCGTCATCGTACGATTCATAATTCAATAATAATTTTAATCACTTTAAATGTTTTCTAAATTTATTCCTCCTTTTAGCCTCTATTGCACCCTTTCAATTTTAAGCATAATGTAAGACCGTCTTGCCATTTAGTTGTCTGTGCTTCAATTAATCGTCAAAATCGCCACATTTTTCTATAAAAATTGCATCCATATGAGAGTAAGCGTATATGTTTGATTACAATTCTCAATAATTGAACATGTGTTTGTCTAAAAATTGCGTCCGTGTGAGAGTAAGCGTATATGTTTGCAGAATCCAAGGACGAACGCTGTTAGAAATGATGAAAATGATTCCGTTTTCAAAAAAGATAGAGTAGATGCTTAATTTAATCGTTCTAATAAAATTAAATATTCTATTCATATTATGTTTTCCAGGTACTTCCAAGATGTTTCAGAAACAAATCTTCGAATATTGGAAAGAGTTTGCTATCACAAAGTATACGTTTATTCGTAAGATTTTGCCCACAATTGCAAATTGTAGATTGCAATTGTAGTAGTAGATTTCTTAAAGATCCATTAATGTATTCATTGCTTAATAAGTGTTCAGTATCGCGAAATAAATGTTCTCCTTCCTCAATGTACCTGTTAAAACGAGAAATCGAAGTCAACATTCTGTTAAAACCAGAAATACATACGTACATATCCGAAGTAGTATGATTTGTCATAAAATCGACATAATTATCTTCAATATGTATATGTACCCGTTCCCGAAAATCTGCAGAGTACATCTATTACAAAAAAATACGATTTTACTTGTATTTAAAATTTTATTATATTTTATTATATTATTTAATATCGATTATTAATTAATATTAATTATAAAATTTTTTTTGTCTATCCCGCATTTATGGCGTTTACAACAAAAAAATTACAGAAAAATACAATTTTACTTGTTTTTTAAATTTTATTATATTTTATTATATTATTTAATATCGATTATTAATTAATATTAATTATATAATTTTTTTCATCCGTACGGCATTTATGGCGTTTGGACGCCTCGGTGACGCCTGCGTGCTCAGGGTCTTCGTTTGCGACGGCGACGTCGCAGCTGGTTAATTGTAGAGAGGTTCGACTCCGATCGGCGTTCTTTAATTAATTTGTAATTTAATTAAAAGAAAAAAAAAATGTCAGTATCGCAGTGCACTAAACAAGTATTGCTTTAGAGGTTACAGCTTGATAGCATTAGAGCTGGTCCGTAGTCGGTTGAGTCTTTTGTTTCCATTTGCGTAGCACGACCTGTTCGAACTTTCAATTTTTTTTATTTGTCGATGCGCGGTGGGAAAGGCTGCCGCTGATTTATTATTGCATTTTGCTGTAGAAAGAAGTGGCGTTAAATATAAAAGCAAAATAGTTAAAAGACACTATGGCAGCAAAAACATATGTAAATCTGAGGGCATATTTGAAGCATAAGGGAATAAAGTATAAAATTAATAAAGCAAAATATTTATGCGACCAGCTTTACAAACCAAAAGATATAATTCAAAATATGTCAGATTAAGAACGGTTATAAGAACACTACCGTATTGAGTCATATTATAAATCATAACTATCATTATAGCACTGATTAAATAATATTACAACATCGTAGTGACCTCTATATTATAACATCAAAGTAGCATTGCAGTACTCCACCACATATTAATTATTTTATTTGGAGTATAATTATGTATGGAAAATTTAACTATCGTTGATGTTCGCTATATTTCGCTATTATTTATGTACATACTAATTTCGTTAAATTTTTCAACTGGCAACGAAAGAAAAAGAAAAAAATTATAAAAGGAAAGAGAAATGCTACTTCCTCACCGAAACTGGAAATAAAATCCCTGGTAGTGAGAAATATAATATCCCTGGTACAGAGAAATAATTGCACACTTTAGTTATTTTTCCTCTTATATATGTCCCACTAAATCGCTTTAAAGACATATTAATTCATACGTACACACATAACATAATTTTGTATTTTGTCATTATTATTGTGTTATTCTTATGTATATATTCTTACGTATACTAACTTAGGTCTGATCGAGCATGTTTGCCGAGCTCTGACTCGTCTAAATGTGCTTCCCTTATGTGTATATCTTAGCATTAATACTACCTTGCGTACCAACTCGTATGATCTTAGCGAATGCTGACTTAATTCTGATCGAACATGTGTGCCTGCATTTATAACCTCAGCTCCTGTGCCCCGATTTATTATCAACTTATAAACAAACAAATTTGGTCGTGCAATACCATGATCAGCTGTTTTCCCAAGAAAAAGTATTAAATTATTTAGGAAAAGATGTAAGAAAATTTATTTTTAAATAAATGCAATTATTAAAATCAAGTAAAAAAGTTGTAATTTGAAGAACGTTTTCGGATTAAAATTATAAAATTGCATTTGTGGTTGAAAGGTGGAAAAATTGAAACGATATTAATAGAAAAAAAAACTAGTGAAAATTACCCAAAAGCTCTGAGAAGAAAAATGTTTCGTAGCCGGAGTTGGTTTGGTGGCACTTGAAATAAACCAAAAAACCGTTTATCGTTGGAACATCTAAAATATTTATATAGTATTTTAGAAAAAAATACAACGGTATCCGAGAGTAATAGGGGTTTGCTGGTAGAATCGTTAAGAAGTATAGCGGAAATTTTAATATAGGGTGATCAACATGACAGTTCGGTTTTCGAATAAGCAGCGTTTAATAATTCTCTCTTTATAATTATGTATTAATTATTCTCCTTATTTAAATGATATTCTATTGCTGGAGTTTAAGGATTTGAATGCCGCCCTCCCTCTTGTTACACAAATTATTTGTACCACTTTATATATTTTCATTAACACCTACCCCACCGGCTGCTCCACCTTTGGCAATTGTAAGTCAAAATTGAGTAGCGGGCTTGAAACGTAGTGTCGACATTGATATTCACGAAATGCAAAATCCTCGAGTTTCTTCCATAGTAGCTGTGTATTTGCTATCATTGGTCTTCCTTGTGCTTACTCACGCTCCTTTAGTTCATGCTTTAGCTTGGGTTATCTTGAATGGCGACAATAGTGTCTTTAAAGAAGGAGCTGCTGCTGTACTTAATGTTTATGTTTAACCTACCTTTGAGGTCCGATAGTTCATAGAATACATGAGGACATTTTTATAGTTGTGTCTGTCGCAGTTTATGAACTGTAAGCAGAAAACCCAACTTTTCACATTTGAAGACGTAGCTGGGTCCTTTGACTGATTTGGCCAGCTTTCGATGCCACCTTGCTTGCGCTTGGAGTGAAAGTACTCTTGACAGAGGCCTTACAGCCTTACAGAGGGACATGCTTAGATCGTTTCAAAATTTGAGACTGATCAGTAATATATATACATGTATACACAAAAAGTTTTTAAAGCTTGCACTCTAGGTGTTGCAAACGTTTCGACACAAAATACGGATATAATCTCATCCACTGACAGTAGATATAAAAAGGTAATAGTGTGTTGTATTGTAGATTACATTGAATTGATCCATAGCTCAGATTAATATTTTGATGCAAATCGAGATATTTAGCACCTGGCAGAATATTGTTATGAAATTCGCTTTTATAAGATACAGTCCGTATCACTGAATCGCGGATATTTTGTACAAGAGAAATACACTTCAAAGTTCTTTTACTACTTTGTCTTTCACAACAGTAGGAGTATTTATTTACAATTATATTTCTTACATGTAGGATTATTTAAAATTTATTTTAGCCGTACTCTCGGCTCAAATGTTCTTGCCCGACTAATTCTCCCTTCCACAAATATTCTGTTTATATACATTTTTACAAGCGTGTTACTATACCTAAATTTATGGTTTTATTTCCAATCTCAGCCTGCTTTTCCGCTAATCGTTTTCATCGGCCTGCAGCTGCATGAGGCGCCTAGCTGAAATTAACTGGATTTGGGATTTTCGTAACAATATTTTAAAAATATGGTACATAAAAATTTCCTAGATATTAATATTAATAACATTTAATCCAGAAAATAATTCAAGTATTCGTATAAAAAGCTTCAAAACGAGGCTTTCTATAGGAAGTAGTCGAAAAGGTGATCTGACTCGAACCATTTGCAATAGCGTTCTTCCTTAACCCAAACTTGACTTTGACACTTTGAGAGAGCGGTTCTTGCACTTGTGTATGTGTATAGCAAAAAAATAGGAACTCGAAAATGAAATTTAGTTAACGCCATAAGTAATCAGCGCTTTTGTTTTCCCTTTACATAATTTTTTTTTCCAGGCATACCAACGTTTTTCAATACGTTCGCTAAAGGCCGTCATTAAAATTAAGAACCCACCACAGAGTTGAATTTGTAGCAAATCTTACAAAACAAAAATCAAATGTTACATCTTTTTTTTTTTTTTTTGTTTGTCCAAATCTGTAGTATGAAAGAATTTGAAGAGTGTTGACTGTAGCTTTTCAAAAACAACATCCAATGTCGGCACTGGAAAGTAATCTTTTAGTAGCATTAGATTTAATTGGCCGAAATCCATGTTCAGCTGACTTTTTTTCTTTCGTATCGCTCTACCTTCCGGTAAAACTTTCCACTGCAGTTGTTGAGGGCCTAACAACTCCAGCTAGCAGGCATTCTTCTAGATTATTTCTAATAACTTCGCACTGGTGAATGAAGAAAATAAATCGGATAAAAATCCAAATGAAATCAAAGAAAACTAGAAACTTCAGACTTGGAAATAAAAGTTCCTCTAAGTCCAACAAAAGTAACCCAAGGCAAATAAAAGTATCCCTAACTCCCAATAAAACCACCCCTGGATGCTAAAAGTTTCCCCTAAATCCAATCAAAGTATCCCTGAATCGTAAAAAAGTATCTCCAAGTCAATGAAAGTTACACCTAACTCCAAAAAAATATGTCTATGTTTTTAGCACAGCTCAAAGTGGACTGCACATATACTAAGGGCTTCGTCGCAGGAAAATATAATACTGTTAAGCAAAATAAAACCGGTTTTCCAAAAACCATGACTTATGCTAAAGCCACTTACTTACACTACACTATATTGTTGATTAACAATGGGTGAAGAATAAGATAGAAGGTATTAAATTATTAAAATCATTTATTTTTAAAAACTAAACTGTAATCGTAACTAATGTTAACTAATAGTGGCATCTGCTGCATTTCCTCAAGACAATAGAATTAAAGCCCACTTCGATTTCGAGCGTTAAATGAATTGCTATAAATGTAATATATCTTTTTTCTACTAATTCTGTGAAAGGGACTGTCTCAGCATTTAATTGTTTTTCCTTGTTCCCGGCTCAGCATGACGTATTGTATGTAATGTGCCAGCAATATCGAAACTTCATAAACGTTTAGTTATTGTTCGGCTGGTATTGCTGAAACCGTAGGAATCCGTAGTCGTATCTGTTCTGACCCCCAATCCAATCTAATTAATATGATAATCCTCTCACGTAACTGCAAATGCATTTTCTTCAACATATATTAAAATTTAAAACAAAGAAAATTTTTACTTACGTTTAGATTTTGTGGTGATCTGTTTACAAATATCGTCCGTTAACAAAAAACCAATCGGCGTGTGACTCAGTGGATTTTTGCCACTTTTCAGAAGTTCTACATCTTCATAATCCGTATGAGCTGACATTGTGGTGCTTTCAGTTGTGATCCTGCGTGCTCCAACACTTTGTTGTTCAAAAATTCATGAGAATCTCATTGTAACGTGTCCACGCTTTTTCACTAATATCTCACTACGAACTGATCGCAAACTTTCGCATACAATTACTTCAGTTACCTGGCTCAAAAGATCTAAAGCCTCTTTTAGAAATAAAAAAAATAATTTACGATTAAAGGAGTTTTAAATGAAATTAATAAGTATATTACTACGGGATGAAGTTTCTTGTAATAGTGACCACTTTCAAATCGTGATCAATGTAAAGCACTCAAGCATTCCGATGTCCCACCAAAGCAGTCAATATTTCTACTGAACAGAACGGATTGGACTACCTATTCCAAGCTGGCCCAGGAGACTCTGAACTATAAAACCTTAAACGGTAACTGACCAAGGGCATGTGGACCGCTGCACATTTCATATTTTTATCTAAAAACCATATTAAAGACGCATTATTTACCTAACGGAATCAAAAGCTAACCTTGCTAAGGAAAACCAAAACAGTCCCCTACATCCTCCAATAATATTATTGCTAGCTACAAACCGGAACTTAATTGAGGTACACGACTTATCTAACTGCTTCGGAGAAGCTTGCTTTGAGTACTCTTACGCATGCTCGTAAGCATGCTGCTCATATATTTAGATATGTAACGTAGGTTCACATTCCATTATCGGAATCAGAAATAGAAAAAGCAAAACAATGAATGTAAATACTCAATCAAGCATTTTAGTTGAAATTACTTCTCATTGCCGATGACACACCTTAGATGAAATTACTTCTCATTGTCTATAACACACAACGAGATAACGAAATATAAAAAGTGTTTGAGAAAAATGTAAAAAAGTTTAAAAAAGAGATCTTCCAAGTATGTCAAGAAATGGTAAGAAAAACCAAACAAATATTATCAATAATCAAAGAATTGTACAAAGCAACAGCACTACGTAAACCAAAATTCGCACGTTAATATCATTGGCATAGAAACTAAACAATTCACAAAAAAATCGATTAAAAATTGATAAATTTAAAATAAGGGAATACTGTAATAAAAAATTATTAGGTGTAAGTGACTTACAAGATTACAATCGAGTTAAAGCATATCTTGAAAAATGAAAACTCAAATTTTACACATTCGCACTACATGAGCAAAGAAAAGGTACCCATTAACAATTTTAAACGTAGATACAAATGTTGATGAAATTCTAATTGAACTAAGTAAATATCAAGATGATTTGCTTTTAAAGAAAGTCAGCCAATTTTCAACAAAATCTTCTATTCAAAAAGATTATTCACTACCAATGTTTCCAACGCAAATAGCAATCTAACCATATTAGAAGAAATTACTAAGCTTTTACAGGTAAAAATGATGAAGAAATGGAGAACACCAACGTACATAACGATTAAATTCGATGATGATGTTTACCTTTCTCTACTTAAAATAATAGCTTTCACTTTAGTGTAATTGAGGCACTCATGGGATGCTCAAAATAGCTTTTTCGATATTCATTACTTTTGTAAATTGATTTGAAGAAATCTGCTGCCGCTTCACCTCGAACACTGTTAGAAGCTTATTGTGAAGCGTCACAGCAGCGGCTCTATCATATCCTAATTTTTTTTTTGTGCTTTCAACTGTTTAAAAATGGCCATTTTGATGTCAACGACGTATAACGCCCTGACGAATCAAAAAAGTTCGAAGATAGTAAATTGCAAGACTTATTGGGCGAAAATCCAGCTAAATGCGTTTACATGCGATGGCAAAGATCCAAAAGGAGAGAAAATGATGATACGAATTGACTGAAAATGCCATTTCGAACTATTTGAACACCGCGGTTTCATTGCTACCCAAGCAAAAAAAGGGGAGCTTTCTATGGCGTTGAAAAGTGGACCTACTATAACAATCCCAAGAGCAAAAAGCCATAGATTTGTCCAGGAGAGCCACATCCACATCGGTACCGAAGCGAAATATTCATGGCTATAACGATTTGCTGTGCATATGATGGGATCAACAAGGTGTAAATTTGCTATTGCAGATCTCTACTGACGTCAATTGAACGCCATGTATTGTTGCAAAAACCACCAGCAATAGCTGCGAAAATAGCTACTTTACGAATTGACTGAAAGAGCCATTTTGGCCACTTGCTGCAATTGTTGGCACTGGGTGTTCGAATGGGAAGTTCTGCCACACCCAGAGTACTCACCATGTTGCCATAAAGATGGGAAAAAGTTTTAGGAAATGATGGAAAATATTTTGGTTAACGTATATTGCACCAATTTTTCTCATTACTTGCGTTTTTCAAGTGACAAAACTATCAAAATTAACCCAACCACCTAATAGATCACTGTTGTATTATATCATTTATTGGGATTTATTGGGGTTTAATTGCAATATCCTCTGAATGCAGTCCCACTTATCAAAGGAGAAAAACTCTAATGCATACTTCGTAAAAGGTATAGGTACTCAGTATTTTGTAAAAGTTATGAGGTTTTCAGGAAACATCAACCAAAACTTGGAAATAGGAGACAGAAAAATATATTAAATAACCTGAATGTGAATAATTACAACATAAAATCAGGTATAAGCAGAGTAAGTGCAATCAATATGTCAATCCAAATTAACATTAACTCTTCTTTCTGGATGAATTAACAAATATGTTATTAAATATAACTACACAAATTATGAACTAACAAAAACAACTACAAATTGAAGTTGGCCCCGTGGACATCCTCGTCTCTACGTTAGAACCCTAACGTCGTCTAGTTATCAAAACAACATAAATATAAATAGCCTTAAAATAATTCAAGTAAATGTAGTCGACAATACGAATTTCAAAGTTCACTACATATACGCAAACCAATATGAATCTAAAGCATGACCTACGTTCTTATGGATACAAGATCATAAAAAAGGACCGATTAGGCGCATTGAAAAGAAATGGTATTGCCACGTTGAATTCAAAACATAAACTCCATTCTTGTCGGTACAATTTAAAAAGGAACGACCAATTAGGCGCATTGAAAGGTGTGATACTGGCACGCTAATCAAACACTGTAAAAATCATACGTACTATGAAAACCACATAATAATTTCTTTAGAATATCTCGAAACCTATACAACTAAAATACGTACCAATGTGAACAGAAATATGTGCACAGTCGCTACCTGCTACAAGAAGGGAAATAATTGCAACAGCGTAAAAACGGTTCTTTTTAAGAAGTTTGATTCTCTGAGCCTACAAGATTTAAACAATTGCTACATTGAATTCCGATACAAACTATATGCATCCACTTTACGTTCTTATCCCCGGTGCGGACCATTCTTAGATGTCTGTTTAACAAACTCTAGGATCCACTTAGATACTAAAAACAACACTTAAAATTGCCTAAAATCAATACTCTACAATAACAATCATAACACGTTAGAAATCAATGCAACATTGATAAACAAAAATAGTTTTCTTTCATTCTTCAAGAACAGCAACCCCTTCTAAAGCTCAAGTTTCGAAGCACGAATTGGAATAAATTTAATCACGGATTATTAGGAAAACCAACAACGCACACAGAATTTCAAACAAAAGCAATTTATCAAATTCTGAAATTAATGTTTATATTAAAAAAGTTATTGCATCTTACGTGAGTAGTCTTATTGTAGAAAAATAAAATATTGTTGTGTAGCCTTGCTGCATCTGTGGTACTGTAGCTTCAACGTACGTAAGTGCCTCTCGTCTCTCACCGGTTGCACACGTATGTTCTTCTTCTACAATACTATCCGTCGGGTAGACTTCATAAGAATCGCCGTAGAATTCAAATACGGAAGGATCATCTCCCTCCTTTTTTAGTTGTTCCCAAAGTCAGCGCTGCAGCTTTCCTTTTTTATTAGGCTTACCACCAGTTGCTGTTACGTTCCTTTCCATCAGCTCCTGTTTGAACTGTTCCGCTGTTAAATCGTGTAATTTTACCTTTTCTCTTAGTTTCCACGATCTCACTTCTGACACAATTTGTTATGAAATTTGCTTTCACTGAGATACAGTCCGTATCACTGGATCGTGGATATTTTATTCAAAAGAAATGCACTTCAAAGTTCTTTTGTTTTACTACTTTGTCTTTCACAACAGTAGGAATATTTATTTACAATTTATTTTGGCCGTAATCTCAACTTCTACGGTCTTGCCAGACTAACTCTACTTTTCACAAATATTCTATTTATATACAATTTTACAAGCATCTTACTATACCTAAATTAATGATTTGTTTCTAATCCCAGCCTGGTTTTTCCTGAACCTGCATGACGCGTCTGGGAATGTACACTTAGCTTTTACCTGTCTGCTTTGCCGCTAATTGTTTTCATCGGCCTCATTTTTTCCTTTTTGAGGGAATTTATTATTACGAAAATTACTTAGCTGACATTAACTGGATTTCGGATTTTCGTAACAATATATTGTTCATTCAATTAATTGTTTAATTTCGGAATATAAACAACATAATAATAATATAACATGAATAGACAACTCAAGTGTGATATGGAATATTGTCAAATATATAGGATAGATAAATGTAATAAATTACAACATATTTTTTTTAATAAAAAATATCTTTTTTACTGAAAGCCATTGAAGCACTTAACGAACAAAAAATTTAGAATTTTTTATTACTTCAAAATAAGCGAAAAAAACAAATTATTTTTGCTACACACATACATTCTATTTGATTTTTTTCGTACATTCGCCGTTATATGTATACCATAGCATATATTCACTTGAGAACACTTGCTTTTGCTTTGCAAACATTTCAAAATGGGATACCATATCAAGAAACAAAATCTTTGCCCTTACAAATAACGAGAATGAAAGAGTAAGCAACTAAATTGCTATTAATTAACAGAGTTACTGCGGTTATTTATGACAGAAACGCAACAAGTCTATAATAATTTCCTAGTTCGACCAACTTGTCATTTCCTCGTTTCTAGTTATACATTAAGACAAACCAAACAAATCCCCCCTCCAAATTAAACCAAATTAATAAACAAGAATCCGGGAAATATGCGCAGTAACAAACCCGGGTAACCGCACGTGTCGATTATTTCTATGTCAACTTAATTTATTTTATTGAAAATATTAAATTAACCACTTTTTTTTTGCGAGCAGTCTCTCTCGATCTTAATTTTGTTATTATTAATACGTTCATTATAACGCGTACCGAGGCATTTGAAGGTTATTTAGAGCTCTCCTTTTATATTCCATATATTTTAATATATATTAATTTATTTTTTATCATTATTAATTAACTTTTAGTTTTATCTCTAAAATAAAAGTCAATCTTCAGTTACTAAAACAAAATTAATTGAAATTATTAAGATATAGCTAAAGCTTCCAAAGTTTGAAAACTGCAATTCTCTTTTTGAAAAATAACACGTACTCAAAAGCTTCTTCTCAAAGCTTTCGGCAATAATGCACAAAAAATTACGAATTTTTCTGCCAAGTCATACTTTTCATGAAAGTCTGCATATTGGACGATGTCCAAAACGTCAACCACTCGAACCAAAACTAATTTACTTCGTTAAAATTTTGTCTGTCATCGAAAACTACAAACTAGACTTTCTCTCCATATAAGGGTTCGCTTTTGATCATAAACACTGTAACAAGACATTTGTCGTCATGTTAATTTTTGTTTTTTTCGCAATAATTTTCGGAATAACTTGACTATTTCTTCTTGGTTTTACTCTTTCAAAAAAGGAATATAATTTTTTTTTCGCAATTTTTTTCGCAACCTCCAACAT